CTCCTATCTTTTCTATTTGTTGAGATATTGCTCATGTACTGAATCAAACCTAGTGGCCTTGCTCATCTCTTTCCATTTTTGGAACTGGTCCCTTATATATACATACTTTTGTATATGACACGTGAATAACCAATCAAAACCCCAGAATGTCTCTTTAGTGGCTTTCTCAGCCATTTTCAAATAAAATGGCATTATTTCTTTCTTTCCATACAAGACAGCACAGAGGTAAGTCAAGTCTTTAGTCTGCTCAAAATTTCATATTTTTTTAGACCCAAATACAGCTTAGTTACTAAAATCCATAAATTATAATTGAGATTTATGGTATCGATATAGTAATTTATGATTTTTTGGTTATTCAAATGCATATATAAAAACCTAAAAAAAATTATTTCATTTCGCACCCTCCATGTGCGTACTTTCTTAAGGCTTAGCAAGCTATGACAAGCAGCAACCGAGTACAAAAGTCGTAACTAGAAGAGATAATTGTTTGGTTTACTTCTTTATTTACTGATATATGTTTTAAGAAAAATACGTTTCAGAAGTTATTTGTAAATAGTAATAATCTTTATACATATATAATGTATAATAATTAAAATGTGACAGTATTTTACAAAATACTAGTCCACTAAAACACAGCCAAAACAGGTCACTTTGGAGAGACTAAAGATTGGTTTTATATTATTGGATACAGTAACATGAGTGCATGTGCGCTGCATCATTGTAACTTCTGTATTGTTAACCAGGCATGACTGAAAGGTTAATATAATAAAATAATTAATATATATAAATGTATAATGTTATGAGATTTAAGCTATTTAGTCTAAACATTTATGTTTTCGTGTTATAATTTATAGTCATTCTAGAACAAAAAAGCATAATAAATTTCCAATTTTTTCATGGTGGTTACAAGATCAGTCAAATCAACCAAACCTGTACAGATATTCGTTAGTGAAAATAACAGATAAAAATATAAAGTTTATCTTAAGAAACATTTGATAACTATCTGGACATTATAAGGATTTTGCACATGAAATTCGAAAATTTTCTCATGCATAAAAGTAATTTTAATCTTAAAATGAAAATTACTTTGCATGTTGGATAGGCAACATGCAAGAAGAAAAATAGCATGAGAAAAACATTGCTTTAGAAAAAATCAAAACTAAATATCTTATTTTTCAAAAACTACATACTTATAGAACCTTTCATCTCAATTTTAAAAGAATTTCATCCACTAGTTTCATTTTTGTAAAGAACTTTCACAAGAGTTGCATACCTACTTACAATGCAAGTAAGTCATAGTCAATTTAGGCACACTTCTCATTTCTTGTAAAAAAAAAAAATTCTTGTTTACATCTTACATGTTTTAAAATGACCTTTACTACTTATAAGTCTCCATTAAATATAAAAACATATTTTATATCTTCACCAACAACAAGTCTTGCCAGTCATTGTTTAGAAATGTCTTTGTAAGCAAATGAAAAAATGTTAATGTCAAAAAAAAGCAAGCATAGTAGTCTTTCTTGTATTAACCTGTGTACTGATGGCTAGTTACATATATTAGTTTTAAAGCAATAGAAATGTTATTCATAGCAGGACTTTATTAACATACTGTGCAATAGTTGTAACTGTACTTTATTTCTATGAAACAATCTATGGTAGAACTCTGATAGATCAAAAGCATTTAGCTAGCATGCTTCAATGTATTTGATAAAAAATCTCAAATGGAAATGCCCAGTTTGCAGTTTGTTTAGAAAGCACCTAATTCCTCATGCAACATACAATTAAACACTCTTCAACCAAGCTTGGTACAAAATAAACAAGCGTAAATGGATCCTTCATTCTTTAGGCACTAGAAAAAGTCAAAAGACTTAGTGTATGTGTATATAAATATACCCTGCTACCTTGAACACATAACGGGACTTAAAAATAAAAAACAGCATATGTGATGTTGCAAAAAATCACTGATTTGGAGAATAATTAAATGAAAACAAATGCCCTGAAAACTAACATTTGATAAAAGCTTCATTTTATACCATACAGCAAACTATTTTCTGTTGTAACAGTTGTTTTGTGAACTTATTAAGATAAACACTGTTCCAGCAAATTCAGGACTTTATATGTATATACATTTATTGTATATCAAACTTCATTCTTAACGTAAACCATTTCAATACCTGATGTTATATATTTTAAACCAATTCTACAAGACCTAGATGCCAGACAGAAGATACAAACTTGTTCTATTATTTAATCATGATATGAGGACAATCAGCAAGACAATGCAGTACAGCATGATACTCAGTGCAACTAATCATTTCATCAAATGAACTACATGAAAATTTAATCTTTCATAAAATTGTGCATTCAGTTACTCAATCAAGAATATACTTTAGAATTAAACAGACAAGAGGTGAAAAGCAAGAATCTACCATCATACACATGGGAACAAACAAAGGCAAAATAGGCAGCATCTGTCAAGTTCAGAGTGATATTTACATAAAAAGTAGCTCAGGAAGTAGAAAAGTAGCAAAACTACTTTTATAGACTAGTCGACCAAGACTTTGTCTACATGTATCTCTTTGAACTAGGCAGTTGCTGCCCATTTCACCTCAGTTGATTATGAATACTCTGTGTAAAGCATCTATAAAGAACACATGGTTGTGTTATGAACAGGGTTGGGTTGTTCTAGTACTTCACTTTAACATGACATAAATGTAAAAGTCAGTGTTTTACTGATTATTACCCTAAATGAAATGGATGAAACAATATCTTACTTAATCACACACTCATCTTCTTTATTGAAAGAAAAGCTCTTGTTTGATAAAAGCTTTTGCTAAAAATATTATATCACAGTATGAAACTGTAGTTCTTATTACATTAAAAAAAACAACTAAACCAGTAACATATGAGCATATTTACTTACTTTTCTTAGAAAATTCCTTATTCACACCTTCATGCAAAAATAACAACAATAACAACAAAAAACATTATGCTTCACCCACACTTATTCTTCAATCAGACATCATCATTGTATGTTTAAGGTGATACAGACATGCCATACCCTTGTTTCACATCTCGCTGTGGCCAAGGTCCTTGACTGCTATTAGCAGCATCACTAGAAGCTTGGTTTTGATTCATCCATTCCAGAAACCCTGACCTCTGAGCATTTCCCCCACCTGCAGCAACAAGTGATGATGCTGAAGTTGTGTTTGGAATATGAGGATTCTGGGAACTTGCTATCCCTTGGTTTTCTGTTTGGCCAACAGCCTGAGATTGAAAATGTCCTCCAAACAGCCCAAGGCCTGCTTGCCCCAGGGCAGCTGCAAATACAGCTGAACTTAAAGGCAATGCTGCTCCAAGGTTAAGAGCACCCATACCAAGAGTAGGAGGAGCTGTATTTACACCTCCATGACCACCAGTATTACCCTGTCCCCCAGCATGATTTCCTCCAATTCCCACTGTTCCCAGGCCCAAACTACTCCCTAGTGCTGCTAAGTTTGGTATTTCATTATTACGATTTCCTCCACCACCACCACCACCTGGTCCCCCTTGATTCCACATACCACCACCACCACCAATTCCCATATTTCCATGATGGGGCATCTGACTGCCACCAAAAGGACCATTTGGTCCTGAATTTCCTCCAAACCCACCCATAGGTGGACCACCATAACCTCCTCGACCATCCATTCGCCCGTGCATTCGTCCATGGTGACCTCCTCCAGGTTCATTCTTTGGGACAGCATTACTGACATGTATACTAGCACCTTTAATGATGTGATCTTCCCCACACAGACTTTGGGCCACCTCTGGATCCATAAATGTCACAAAAGCAAAGGCCCGAAATGGCTTGGGGATAAATACGTCAGTTACCTCACCAAACTTTGAGAAGTATTCTCTGAGATCATCTGCTCCAAGGTCTTCAGTACAACGGCCAACAAATACCTTCCTATTGAGTTCTGTTGCTTGGCCTTCCTGCTGTATAGAAGTAACAATTCAAATTTTTATCATTATAATCTGAATGACATATCAAAGCAATATAAAAACATAAATTCAAACTTGTTTCTGAATCTCGTTCACTAACAATATGATCAAAAAGTGTAATCAAAACATTACAAAATTACATCACTTAGCTATCTATGATACTAATTTAGATCACATATATACAATTTTTTAAATTACTGATCTTATAGATCTTATAGAACTAAAAAAAATTGTAGAAAAAAGTAAATACATTAAACAGTACGAATTATTTATGTGAAAATCAAAATATCTAAAAAATAATACTTACAAATCTGATATTTTGCAACATATTTTGTCTACTTACCATTGCAAAATTGTTCTTTGGTCAAACATAAAAATATATTAACAGTAACATACCTACAAATTTTAGGCCTATTTATTCACAACTCTATTATACATAATCAAATTGACAATATTATTCACACATACTATTAAATGAAAAATACGTCTTCCACACTTACTAAGAGCTAATTTTGTTTACAAAATGAGGAAGTTTTACGAATATCATCAAGATATTTTAAAAAAATGTTTATTTACTGCTTTAAGTCACACAAACTTTCTTCATCTAAAATTTCTTAGAGTGCTAACATTACAAAAGTTAATCTGATTAAGCCACACATTACACCATCATGGATATAATGTTTTCTGACAAGTAGCATTTAAAACCCACTAAGTACTATGTTTATATATAAAAACTAGAAAAATAAATAAATAAAAATTTTAAATTTTCTTTTAACAATAACTTTATTAGTAAAAGCTGAGGAATAAACACTGCCACTCAACTATTATGCTGTTTCTGAGTATACCTTCAAAGTTCTGATTAAATACTCTAATAATGGAGTATTCTGTTTTTCCTAAGGTGTTACATAATGCATATATTTTCACAATACATATACCTTTGAGTTTGGTATCTTCACATCACACCACCTTCCATCAATCATATGACGTTTGGAGAGTACACGCAATTGTGATTCATAATTCCCAAACCTGATGAATCCAAATCCCTTTGATTGTCCAGTTTTGGGGTCTTTCTTAACCTGTTATTTTTAAGTATTTATCAATATAAGTTCTTTAAGATATAAAAAAATTGACAAACTTTTATAATGCAAATCTGCTTAAACACTATGCTTGAAACAATAGTGGTGGTACACTGTTATAATTTTCAAGAAAGTGTATTATGAAATGAGCTTATGAATCTATTATTAAATACGAAATCTGCCCATGATGAGTAATGCTTCCCAGCAATGAACAAAGAATTTTCTCTTGAATTGAATTGAATAAAAATAATAAAACACTCAGTTCCACATAAAGTTTACTAGTAAATTACCATAGACCTATTTAAAGACAGTTTGTTGGTGTTTTATGGCATAAAGCACTAAGGCTATCTGCACCGTATAAAGACAGAGAAGTGAAAATGATGTTGCCTAATCATATGGCTTCTGGGGAGTTTAGTGATCTTCATTCATTTTGATCTATGTCAAGTCTTAGCCATTTTTACATTTAGGCATTATTTATACTAGTAAAACCTGTATTATGCTCTTTTTGTGCAATAAAACGTTTTTAATTATATTTAACAAGTAGAACATATTAATCTCATCACTTAAATACATTTAGATTGTAATAAAATATGCTCATACAGTACAATACATAGTGTCTTATGTTACTACACCTATCAAATCACTTTAACAGTATGACTCAGCATTTATTCTGTTCGTATGTTAAAATTATTAAATTTACCATACAGTAACTTATACATTGTGATGAATTTTGTACAGTGGATAGTCATGCGACTAAAACTCCAGTTACTGTATATACTAGAATAAAGTGTCACACAGATTTACATTCACAATGATGGGACAAGAATGAAGGGCTTGCTTAGTTCAACTGTTTTATTACTGTAATGTTGAAATTATACGATAGATGATATTTACTTAAATATCATAAGTGACGAATGTAAGCTATAAATTGTGAGGTGTAACCTACTAATAATGCAAAGCTTCTCTTCTTCTTTTTTAGGTTATTTTTGGAATAGTATGTTTGATAATGTTGTGTGTGAATGTGGATTAGATTATTTCAAAGTGTTGCTGGGAATCTTTATCAGTTTTAAAAAATAACTTCAACAATTTTCATTTTGGGATGGGTTAATTAGTAGCTTCAATAATCTGATTGGCCTTCTGTCATCAGTGCTCTTTCAGAGTAGTGAGGGTATAATGCAGTAGGTTTGGAAAAAGCACATAAAGTCAGAGATAGAGAAACATGACAGCTTGCATATATATTCATTATATTGGTACAAAATATACTTTTTAATGACCACCACTGTATACAGAAATCAGTTGAAGTTATAATGATATTTTTTTGCAAAGATTTACTAAAATAGTAAAAAAATAATTCAACTGGCAAAAATGAGAATTCCTCATGTAATCTTCAATCATTCTAAAACTTCATTTATTACTACATTTTGTAACTTAAAAACACATATGTATATTTACTTGTGCCATTAGCACTTCACCATAAGACTCAAAATACTGCCTCAACTCCTGCTCTGTAGTTTTCCAAGGTAATCCAAGAATGATCAGGTCAGAGCATTTTGATCTGCACTCCATCCGTTTTGTCTTAGCTGTACTGTTTTCCAACTGTTCATCTGACTTGCGCTTATTCTCTGCTGCAATTAAGAAATTGCAGCAAAATTACTTTTCACAGTACATTTAAGAATGTTGTATTGTAATTAGTTTTAAATCTAATTCTTGATATGTTATGCAAAAGACCTATTTAATTATATACAAAATTATACATGATTACGTATTGACACAGAATGAAACCACAAGATTTAACATAAAAGGCATTTCTCATTAAGTTCAAAATTAAGAATAAAATTAATGTTTCTTTACAGCATTGTCTTTATAACTTATTACACTGACAAGCCAAAATAACTAAACACTGTAAATATGTTACAAAATTTAAATATTTGTTTCACCACTAGGATTTATACTATTGTGCCTTGTTTTGATTTACATATAAAAACTAATATTTACAATAAATATTCACATCTGACATAACATCTGCTAAATCCTATCAACAGAAGATATTTAGGATAACCCCTATAACTGAAAAATACTGCCTAACTCTCATATACATATTTGCACTGAGGTTTTTTTGGTACTGTTCCTCAGATGTACTCACACCATAACAACATCACTGATCAATAATCAAAATCAGCTGGTACTTATGTCCTTCAACATGTTTTGTAAAAACTTCCAATGGTCTATTATGGCAATGGGTACAGAGATAAAAGGACATATTTTACTTTAAAAAACTAGTTTTAAATACAGCTTCTTCACTTGCTTTACTTTAGGTAAAATCTACAAATTGAGTCAGAAAAGAAAACTAGAAAAAAAAGAAAAGATATATTGAGCAAGAAGAGCATTAGTGTTAAAAAAATGAAGAATCAAGATATGGTTACTGAAAAAAGTAATAAAGCCTTCAGCTATATGTATGTAGTTGTGGTGGCAAAACTAAACAAACAAAAACAGTTCTGAGATATTAATAAGAATTTTCAATAGAAATGTAAAAAGGTTATTTGAGCTCTCTATAACACTCTATGAAGTTTTTTAACATGTTAAAAGACATCAGTTGCACACTACTAGAATGATGTGAAGTTTTAACTCATTTAAAGTATGTGACAGTTTGAGCTTGTAGAACTGCTTTCTCAAGAACACAAAAAAATTAGTGATATTAATTGTTCAGCTGTCCAAAATCATTATAGAGGTTTGGACATTCTTCCTGTGGGTTTTTGGTTCAGTGATAGGGACATACTAAAAGAAGTGAATTTAATAATTGTTAGGATCATCCTATTACTAAATTGGTGTTAAAAGAATAATCACATCAGTTTAACTAAAGTAATGAGACTTCATAAAATATACTTACATATAAATTCAAAGTAATTTATTATGTAACATGAGAGGAGATATAGCTTCAGTAAATCAGATGATATTTGAATACATTCACAGGTGGAAAACCAAAATGACAAATATTTAAACTATAAAGAGAGACTCAAATATTTTAACTTATTTTCTCTGGTGCACAGAAGCACCATATATGTCCTCATTCATGTGTTTATTAACATGAAATATGGACAACTAGAGATCATGTGGTTCTTCAAAACTCTCCCAGCACATTCACCATTGGGAACGGTACAATTCAAAACCCACCCTTTATTTTTGATGAAATACTGATTCCACTGTTAAACTCATGAAAAATGTTTGCTGCCAATGCCAACTCATACACAAGTCAATCACATCATTAAAAAAATAAACTTGTCTTGACACTTTCACTGCTTACCTCTTTTTCAAAGGCTAGCCCCATCTGGTTAACCATTTTTTTTCAGAAAATACATGATTTCAAGCTGCCCACCTTATCACTTGAAATAATAACACCTTCAGTGTTTCACAGTGATGAATATTCATGTACATATGCAAGAATGCCCTACCTGATCATAAATGAGTATAAACATGATATCTTTTGTAGCATTCCCCTTGATGGAGTGGGACTTTACATCTCTCACAATAAAATCTTGTTTTTGATCATTTACCTTTTTATTTTTTGCAAACACTGCATGGCTTAGTAGGGTATTTCTTTTTATTGGTTGGTGGCATGACAACCAATTCATGTTCTTTGAGTCCACCACTAAGACATGCAGCAACTTGGGGTGCTTCCTCTTCACTATCAGAGGAAGATGGGTGAGGGGCAGCTTCAGCCTGCCAAATTCTGCCAGGATGCCATCAATCACTTCCTTTCTGAAATTCAGGAATGAGAGTTTTTTCTCTGGATTTGCCTGATTGTACAAGATGTGCGAGTTGATCATGCAAAGATCAAACATATACAGAACAAATTTCTTTGTCCACTTGATTGTTTTCCCATGCAAAAAGACATCATTTTGCTATTTGATCAAGTTTGTCAATGCCAGACGTGTCTGTTGTAATCGAGGACACAAGTTGGTTTTTGGATGGGCAATTGTCCCTGTTTGTCTTGCCAGAATCCTCCTTTCTGGAATTATGAAGTGTGGAGATCATTTTTATTGACCATTTGTCTTTCCACACTAATAAAAAACCAACTGACCCTTCTGCAGTCTGTCGGCTTCATGCCACAGAAAGTGATGGGCACCTCAATTCAGTCTCAAAGTTCCATACACATGGTTCTTTTGCTAATCTGCCAGCAAACATTTGAATAGGGCGACAATATTATAATAATTGTCTATGTATAGCTCATAGACAAACTGATACAGGTATTCCAGGAGAACATCACAGACTTGCTGCAACGTTTTTCCAACACCACAGTAGAAGTCATAGTTGCAAACATATCCACTAATAGACTCTGAAAGAACATACCCTTTCATCCTATATTTGACAGGTTTTTCAGATTTTAAACATGAAATATTACACATTTAGGGAAAGTTTTTCTTGTGGGGTATATACAGCTTTAAACTTGTTTACAACATAATCATAAATTGGCCGAATTTTATAGAGTCAATATTGACAATTTCTGGGATGTGCATTATAGTCATTGAAGTGGAGAAATTACAGTTTCAGTAGAAATTTATCCCTTGCCAGAGTCTGAGGGTAAAAAGGTGTAGCTATTTTTTTATCACTATTCCAGTACATCTGAATCTTGGGGTATTTTACAAAAACAGACAAAGTTTGTCAGAAGTCAAATCATTCTATCATCTAGCACAGGAATATTTTTTCTAATTTTAGTGTTCTTGGAAAAATTGTGCAACATAAAGATCTGTCTCTCTGACAACATTGTCTATTAGTTCAACAGTTATAAACAGTTTGAACCACTGAAGGCAGGTCTCTGTATTATCTTGTTGTATATTTACACATGGAGTACCAGTGAACTGATGTACACGTAGAGGTCTGTCTACATCAGTCCAGCCCTCCACCTATTTTCATTTCTCCTACCCAGGTGCTTGTGCAGGACCAGCTGTAGCACAATTATTACTGCCAGTATTAGGCCCACATGTGCATTTATGCCATTCATGTCCACATCACTCAATTCATCATTATTATTCTAATCACTTTCATTTTCATCATCTATATTATATTTCTCAGAGTCCTCTACATCTTCTGCATCTGAATTATAACTAAAACAGTCAGATTAAGAGTCCTCATCAGCAAATATTTCTTGCAAAATGTCCTCAGCAGAGTGATATGAAGCTTGGGCATCACCATCTTGGAAGTCCTGGAAGCAATCCAAAAATGTGAGTCATATTTTTGGTTTTGTAATATCCATACAAAGTACGAAACAACCATGATGAATGAAATAAAATGGAGTCTGACTAATGTATTTTCCAAAACACTCATTCTAATTTCATGTTTTGACAGGTGGTATGGCACATACAGTACTTTATTGTGGGTGAAAAACTGAAGATTCTCAAAGATAGCAGCAGAAGTGTTAACTGGAGCATAGGCCTACCTGTTACAAATCTTAAACTTGTGTCAACTCATCCTATTACTCTCAGAATGTAGCACAAAGAAATCAGATGCCTTTATATTCTTAATCCACCCCAATGATTTTGTAAACCTCAATAGGATCACCTCTTACTCTTCTTTTCTTAATAGAAAAAAAATATAACATATCTTAACCTATCCCAGTAAGATACCTCTTCCATTTAAGGAATCATGATAGCAGACCTCCTCTGAATCCTTTTCAATAAGTCAATAAGCTTTCTTAGATTAAGAAACCAAAAATTGTATAGTATTTAAAGTGAGGTTTAACAAGTGATTTGTACAAGTAATTATTTCTTTTTATATATAACCAATATGTCTATGAATACAAATGAAACTGTTAGCTTTACTACCAGCAACAGAGCACTGCTTCAATGGGTTGAGTGATCAAATTATCCACCACTATGTCAAGATCCTTTCCTTTAGGCATGCTACTCAGTAGGTTTCCATCTATATTAAAAGTGTGATCCAAATGCATTATCTTGCAATCACTAAAATTAAAGACCACTTGCCATATGTTTATCCAACTTTCCAAGTGCCTATGTTATACCTCAACACAGCTAGAAATATCCAAGAGTTTAATGTCACCTGCAAACTTTAGTAATTATGTTCATATTCATATCATTATTGTAAGTCAGAAAAAAGTAGAGGCCTAAGTTTGACTATTCGTACACTTTATTAGATTTTAATACCAACATTTTGTTTTCTCTCTTTTAACCTTCAAACAATTTACTTAAGTGTAGTCTTACCCAAACCCTACAACTATAATTTTCTTTGTTAATCTTGTATGTGGCACCCTATCAATCCAACTAATTTGTGTCCAAGTGAATGTTCTTTCATTTCTGAACTTTCAGTCTATTTACCTCAGGATTCACGCTTAAAGTATTTTTTAGGGAGCCAACCAGGCCCCAAAAACATGCATTTTTAGTGGCCCGCAGCAATTTTTGTTCAACTTGGGGCATGATGATGGGTAAAACAAAATGTGTGGCCTAGCTAACTAATAAATTAATATTTGCTGTAAAATTCTTATCAATACTATAAGTGTAGTTGCCAGTTTGGCTGCCACTTTTGATTTCATTCCCTTAAGTCACACACACACTATCCTTTTTTGGTCACACCTGTTTTTCACAGCTAAGGTGTTTCTGATTAGATATCACGA